TATATATATATATACAAACACTTCTTAAAGATGAATATATACAGTACAGTATATGATAGAAATACCAGGTGTCATTTAAACCTGTGATTATACTGCCTGACCCCCAAAAAACCTGGATTTCGGGAAGTGTTATGATCTTGGGTTGCTTCAGTTGGTCAGGTCTAGGTTCAGCAATGGTATGTCCACACAAAATGAGGTCAACTGCCTACCTGACTATACTGAATGACCAGGTTTTTCCAACAATGGATTTTTTTCTTCCCTGATGGCACTGGCATATTCCAGGATGACAATACCAGGATTCATCAGGCTCAAATTGTGAAAGAGTGATTCAGGGAGCATAAGACATCATTTGGCCACCTCAGAGTCCAGACGTTAACCCCATGGAGAATCTTTGGGATGTGTTGGAGAAGACCTTACGCAGTGGTCTGACTCTGCCATCATCACTACAAGATCTTGGTGAAAAAATAATGCAACTCAGGATGGAAATATATGTTGTGACATTGCATAAGCTTATCGAAATGATGCCACGGTAAATGCATGCTGTAATCAAAGCTAAAGGCAAGCCTACAAAATATTAGAGTGTGTGACTCATTTTCTAAAATCTATAATTGAGGTGGCCAAACTCATGCCATTCACACTTTGTGAATGTATGAGTTTAATAAATCATTTTAATGTGTTTTATTCCATGTATTTATATCCATCTATATTTAACATCCCCTTTTCTACAATTTCTTCTTTTGATGTCATGTTGGGATGCAAGATTTTTAGAAACACTGGATCACTCCAATTCTTAGTCACTATACATTTTTCTCAACTGCCTAAAATTATTTATTTTTCTATTGGTTAACAGCTTACCTTGCTTTTTCATGACAGGAAGCTGTGAACCAATAGAAATAATTCCAGCTGCTTGGTAAAGCAGAGAGGATGTCATTTTATGCAGGCACATGATATGTCCAACTTGTGGAGGTCAAGTGGTTTTTGTATAGTGTTTCACACTATCTAGGAATAGCTAAATTTGCTGTGACATAAAAAAAGGGAACAATAAAGAGAAATTTGAGTATTTGTAAAATTCTACAAATACTCAAGGAGATTCAAAGTTATTCATTTGTAGATTTGTGGAGTAGTGCTGCTTTTCCAGGATCTTTAAACACAAGATCGTTGTATTCTGATGTCTCTTTCTATACAGTGAAATCTTGTTTTGGGTCTTTATTTCTAGAACAGTTAATGATAAAAAAAACATCTGCAGCAATTTGATCAGTAAGAATTACTGACCTCTCTTCAGTACATGTGAGACTTACAAGTGCACTTTTTAGTCTTTACACTATGCATATCTTAAACAGTCAGCGCCAACATATGTTCTGTAGCTTCATGATAAAAACAATCACTGTATTTTAAATGTAGTGAATTGTATTTGAGTTCTACAACTGCAAGAGGTAATAACTTTCACAGTCATTCTCCTAAAGAAGCCTGGGTGGCAATTTTTGAGCTGCTAATTCAGCAACCAGAAAATAAACTGTTAAAGGTCATAATCCCCACCTTAAAAAAATAATAAATGCACTCATATTCATAAATAAAGTGCTTTTTTTGTGTTCGCTTTGGAGCCAGTAAAGAATTGCAACCACAGTCAGTGGATCACAAGTGCAATGCTCAGGCTCAAAAAGTGTAGAACCAGCACACAATGATCTTCCAAAGAAAATTAACCTTTATTTCACGTGCATCTATACAAAAACACAAAAGCTGACATGTTTCTGCCTTACTCGGCCTTAGTCATGGCTATGACTATGGCCGAGTTAATCATGGGGGCCTCCTGCCTGATGATGTTTCCCCGCCACCACGACAATGTATATAGTTACAAATATTACATTTATAAATAATATTGTTTTGCAGATATGATATTTCATCGCTATCAGGTGTTACAAGTAATCTGGGCATACATGCTGTCTATCTCTGTGACATACTTCATTACTCTGTGCCTTTTTCCTGGTTTGGAGTCAGAGATCAGGAATTGTACAATGGGAGAGTGGCTTCCTATTCTCATCATGGCGGTATTCAACCTATCAGACTTTGTAGGAAAGGTAAGTATCCGTAACATTTCCTCTGTCTGTGACATAACAATTCATTGTAAGTTGCTGTTATTTCATATACTGTACATGTATGACTAACTAACATTTTAATTTGCCTTCTCTAAAATGGACACAGGAAGCAGCTTCATATTTATGAGCTTTTTCAACAGACTGAATCTCTTGCTTCTTTTAGGTTATTCGGGGTTATTCCCATTTCATAAAGCTGGATTCACACTTACCTAGGTTGCAGGGCATTTTTGTGGTGCATTTTTGATGTGCATCAAGATGTGTTAACGTTTGCTGCCATCCAAAGCCATTACAATGTATGCTGACAAATGAAAAAACGGACATGAACTTTTTTGGTCAGCACACTGCTCATATGTAAAGTAGCATTAAAAACCATGTCAAACCTAGGCACACACTTTACTGCACTATAAAACGGGTGTGAATGGGTATGGTATTGTAAGCGCTACGCTACAGTGAGCGCCTTCAACTCTCCTGTTAACTGAGCATGGAGGTAAATCTTACCTCTTTCACAAAGTAATAAAAGTACAACACATAAATACAGATTAGTATAAACTAGCAAAAGTTTGCCCTAGTGGGCACAGACGTGTCAGTGTTTTTAAGTCTTAGGCTACATTCACACCTCTATCTTTTGGTGCAGTACAGGCTCAGGCAACCTGATAGTAGGAAAAAAAAATATGTATTCATTCATTTTAAATAACATGCTTTCCTGGTCAATTCCTTGTTGTCCCTACCTGAGTCTAATTAACTTTTTTGCCCTTGCCCTCCTTAGCTGATTTTTTACACTTTTTCTAATGTTTGCATTAAAATATTTATTGTGTTTTTGTGCATTTTGTTGATTTTGTTTTATAGTGTAAACAGGCAATACAAAAATGCCTGCTACTTTTGTTTGCATGCTTTGTGTCAGAAATATAAATTTGGTTTCATGACCAACAATAAAAATTGCACAAAAGGCCTACATGTATATCTATAATAACACTTATTTTAAAAAACATACAGTTTTTTAAGCTGGAAATGTTTTTTATATATATTTTTTTTTATATTTTACTTTCTTTCTTGCTTTAGGCCTCATTCACAAGGATGCACATCCATGCAGAAACTTGTGCCCAGAAGGGACAGGCGCTGCATGTAGCCAAGTGCAGCTTCATGTACAACTCAATGACATGATGCGGCTGCATGCGGCTAAACACCGACCCGAACTTGCATATCGGTACAAGTATGGATGCATGCCCTGGGATGCAGACTGCCTGTGTCCAAGGGCATGAATCGATACCTGTACAGATGCACAAGTTTGGGTCGGCCTGTAGTTGCAGGCATCCATGTCCTGTCATTGAGTTATACAAATAGGTGTATGTCGCTCTCCGTCCCGAGCGCAGGTTTCTGCACAAACGTAAATGCTGCACAGCTGTGCTTGTCCATATGAATGAGGCCTATAAAAATAAAATATGCTTTTTAGTCCAGAAAAGAGATGCATACTGTGGATGACATATGAACAAAGTTGAAACTGGTCTCCTGTGAAAAAGGGATATGATGGAATTGCTGGGGGGTGTATTGTGATCCTTTTGAGAGGTACAAAATACCTGTAAAAATGATATCTCCATTTAGCAAGCTAACACTTAAAGTGGCAGTCTGCCTAACGGTGATTTTTTTTGTTTTTTAAGGTGGAATATTGTGGGCTACATCAGTGCCTGATAGCTTGTGCCTGATAGCTTATACTGTATGTCTTCAATAGAAAAGTTCTCTCTGTCATAACTCTGTTCCTGTGCACCAAAGAGTTTTGTGTAACCCCCACCCATCTGTGCATTTTTAACACCACTCCTGCATTCACCATATTAAATTTTTATGGGGGAACCTTTCATGATGGTGACAGCAGGTGTGTAGGCCCAGGAACTCAAATGCAGATATCTATGTACAATCATTAAGAGACATATGAAACTGCCAGGTGGGTTATGCTACAGTTCTTGCCAAACGCTAAAATATACATTTTGGGTGAACCTGTCATTCAACATAAAAAAAACCGGTAGAAGATCTGAACAAAATAATTGTGAAATGCAAATACTGACTTCCCTTCATTTTCATAAAGTAGAAGGCATAGGTGTAATACTGTGTCATTTGATTGTCTGTGGGGGCTATTGTTTTTTTTACCAATTTGAAAGGGCATTTAGCAGAATATGGATAATAAACCCATTGTTCTAACATACCTGGGTAGAGTAGTGCTTTTTGAGCCGTAGTGACACTCTACTCTATTTACAAAGACGTGTTGTATGCATTGCCTGATGAATTATTAGACAGCCAATATTCTCTCACAGTACATCAGTTTTGGTTTCCTAAAGTCTAAGTTAAATTACAATCTAAAAGTTCATCTGGTTCGGGTATCCAGTCTTTTTGCACTGTGGGGCCTAAAGGCCGTGACACACTGCACGCGAAGCAGCGCGGAGCGGTGGCGCGCTGCCTTTGCGAGCAGTGTGTCATGTCACTTTCTTCTCGGCACCTCAGCTTGCGAGAGCTCGCAGAGCTGAGCGTGCCGAGATGAACAATTTCAACTTCAGCCAATCGGCTCGCGCGTATAAACCGGCGCGACGGGATGCGACGGCTGGCCGGTTGTTACAGACGAGCCGATTGGCTGAAGGTGCAGTCAATCATCTGACTGCACTCAGCTCACACACTGCACGCGAAGCTCTGTGCCGGAGAGCTTTGCTTCGCTCTGCACGGCTTCGCGTGCAGTGTGTCACGGCCTTTATTGTGCGCCTTATGGTGCACAGTGGAGATTTTTTTAATATACACATATAATGAATTAGGAGTAGATGACAATAGTTGCGCTGGGAGTGTGTATGTGGTAAAACAATAAATAAACCAGCTGCAACAATGTGTGGTGTTGTAACCGTTGTAATCGTTATGTTGCGCTCGGTTGGCTGTGAATCAAAGTAAACTCTACAAATATGTGAGTGAAAAATCACCTCCTGTTTCGTATGTCAAATCCAATTATGAAGTTATTAATATTTTTAACTGTGCAAAAAAAACCTGTGAATCACAATCTACTTCTCACTATTAGATCTGCTAATTCAAAAGGCTATTATTTTTCCAATATTACACCCTAAAAGCTATTTTTGATTTGCTTAGTAAGAAAGTAAAACAGGATTTTTTTTTCCTCTCCTTTTCTGGGAGTCCATTAAGGAACACAGCTTGATAGTAAGAAACCTAGAGTTATACTGCCACCTACAAGAGAAATGGATACGAGGCACATTGAAAACTGAAGGCCACCCCCTTCCCGAGGCTATAACCTCTTAGAACTTTGCATATGAGGGAAGGTAACTATGTCACTCAATGAAAAAACGATTTAACATTGAGTACAAAAATCCTATTTTCTCTGCTGTCCATTATTGTCCCTAGGGACATCCAAAAGAATTCCACATTCAGGGGCAGGTGCACCCAGCTACACAGGGGACCCAGCCTAACAAGAAAAGATCAAAAAAGGAATGCAAGGGCAATAAATAGCTGCTTACTAAACCTTTCAACCAAAACTAGCATCTGTGGATGCTTAGTAAGAAAGTGAAGGTGAGATAGGCTGAAGCGATGAGTTTTCAAGGATCACCTAAAGGTGGAGATAAGCAGATAGATTGGAGTAAGGAGTTCCAGAGGATGGGAGGGGCTCTGGTGAAGTCCTGGAGGCAAGCAATAGAGGAGGTGATGAGGGAGCTATAGAGCAGGTCTTGAGAGGAGCGGAGAGGATGGTTTAAGTGTTATTTTGAGACATTGAGACATATTGTGGCAGAGTTGTAGACGGCTTTGTATGTTATTGTTAGTATTTTTGATTGTATTAATTGGGCAAGTGGGACCAGTGGAGGGACTGGCAGAGAGGCGGTGGACACTGAGGGTGGCCTTCAATAAGGTAGATGAATCTGGTAGCAGCACTTATCTTGCAACTCATAGGTCTGTGCAATAACCTGTTGAATACACATAGAAATAGTAGATCTTTTAAATTCTTCTTAAAAGAAGCAGTGACAGAAAAGGTACACCTCACTGCCCTCACCACATCCAGGCAATGGAGAGCAATCTTAATGAGTAGAACTGGTGCATGGCACATATCCTGATGAAGGTAAAAGACAGCATTACATACCTTGCTAGAGAAGACAGCATTACATACCTTGCTAGAGAACAACATGGCAGGAGGGCTTCCTTTGCACCTCTGGTCCAAACAGCTCTGCAATGGAGAACAGGTGGTGGAGGGACACAGAGTGGCACAGGTAGTGAATGTCCAGTCCGCATGTGCCAACTTCTGGAAGAAGACTTTGGGTGTGGCTTAAGTGCCAGCACCATGAAAAGCAATTATGCTAATTCAGGGGAGGTGGGATTAATTCAGAAAAGGATGGATATTTTCCTCCTGCACCGTGCTTTGCTGCCACAGCCGTGGCTTCCGGTGTGATGGTAGGATGTAAAGGGAGGACTGGGAACTCTAACGTGAAAGGGGGACTCTGATATGAAAGGGGGAGACTCTGATATGATAGGGGGCTCTGATATAAAAGGAGGACTCTGATGTGAAAGGAAGAGGATTTGCTGTGAAGGGGTGCTCCTGGTGTAAGAGAGGGTGAATATAAAGTGAATGCAGGGGGCTCTTAATGTAAAGGGTGGTTTATAATGTGAAGGGGGTTCCTGATTTGAAGGGAAACTCTGGTGTGAAAGGGTTTTTTTGTGTTTTCTCGTGGGCTTCTCCCTTAAAATAAAACTTTTTTATATATACTAGGCCCCCATCTCAGATAAGATAAGTCTGTATAGATTTTGGAGGGGCCACACATCATTTTTACATGTACTTTTTCACACTTTAAACTGGAGTTCCTTAAGATTTTGCATACTTTTAAAGTGACTGAAAAAAGGTTGAAAAATACCAGACGTTTCTCACAGCCACCAATCAGATTTCGCCCTGCTTAGAAGCTTGAATGTGATTGGAGAAGCAAAAAGCTGAGTGAGAGGTAGTTACGCAGCACAGGCTTCAGGATGTACACCCCTACTGCCCTACAACTAACCTTCCATGGAGCTATGTGTGTTTATTCTACAAGACATTACACAGGGATAACACAGAATCAGATTAAGATAAACTGAGTAAACGTTATGACTTTAGTTCAGGTGTTGTGTTTCCTGTATAGCAGGGGTGTCAAACTCAATTTAATCGTGGGCCTCATCAACATTATTGTTGCCCTCAAAGGTATCTGTAAGACTATATAAATGTATCTAATCTTTATCATAATTGCCTCTGCATTGGATTATCACTGGTTTTAGTAATAACTTAATACCTAGATCTGAAAGTAGAAGTCTAGGAAATAGCCTAGTGGGCCAGATTCGGCACCTGGGCCTTGAGTTTGACACATGTGCTGTATAGCATACGGTAAGAAGCTGACAAAATGCGTTTACTTGTAAATGCCTGGAATTGCTCTTTTAACAGTTTTTGACTTCACATTGCCTTTCTGAGGCAGCCTGTTCTGGAAAAAAAGATAAAATTATGTAAAGGAATACATTTATTGAATATAAAAAAGGCAATGTGAACTGTCAAATAATCGTCAATAAAAATGTAATAATCTAAATAGTAAAAGGTTAGTGAGTGGGTAACATCAAATACAATAACAAGAACCGCAGATTAAAAGAAATTAAAAAATATAATTCCCGTCACTATTCTGCATTTCCCATACCCTTTTTATCCTTGCTGTTTACTCCACCCTGTCTCCTCTCTTCCTTTGCCCTTCTCTTCATTTTTCACTTTCTGTGCTCTCAGGCTTGCAGATACTGGTACTCCTCTAGAGGATGGCCCTAATCATAGTCTTTCACCCTTTGAGGTTTTTCCATTGGTGCCTTCTCCCACTTTTTCGGTTAGGGGCCTTTTACAGGGTCTAGGGCTGGGTTTTGCTATTAAACGTATGTGCCATTTATATGCCATGATTTTTCATGTGGATATTTTCATTGCAAGCCTTTTATCTCTCGACCCATCTTTTCTTGTGCTTTTTAACCTTGTGAACT